GAAAGAAGCCTCGGTTATCTTCTCCGTTAACCGAGACAATGACGTGAATGTCGGTAACAACCGCGTTAGCTACCGGCGGCTAAAACTGTTGTCATGTAAAACGGAAGTGAACGGGACGGGCAGCTCGCTGTTTGGTTCACACACACTCTTTGTTTCTAGTTCATCTACAGACGCTTGTTTATGTATGTCTAATGTGAGATTGTGGGGATGTCACAGCTTAGATATCTGTTGTTGGTTTAAAGAAAGTCGAGCTGGCAAACAAACAAACAAACAGGAAGTAAACAAACACATGCTTACACTGACTAAATCAAGTCAACAACATAAGTAACAACACAAAAACTATTGCTGGTTTACTTGCTGTTATTCTTGGAATTCATGAGAGCTGTGTTGACTCATTTTCTGTCAGTCTGTATTGATTAATTGGCCAACTTGCTTCATCTTTTGTACAAATGCCAAACATTTTAAGGGTCCTGGTTCTCAAATGTGACAATTTGCTGCTTTCCTTGTCTTAAAATTACAGTAAACTGAATTGGTTTTGGACTGTTTGCTGCACAAAACAAGACATTTGACGACATCACTTTGGGCTGAATGGGAATTTTTCATTTTGCTGACAAAATAATCTGTCAATTCATCCAGAAAATACTCTACTGATGAATCAACTATGAAAATAGTTTTCAATTGCAGCCCTAGTTAAATAATTTAACGCTGCTAATGTGTCTGGCACGGGGAAACCAGCTCAGCAAACCTCGTATTGTGCTTCCTAAAATAATGTTGCCGTTTTGCAGCTTTGGCCTGGTTTTACCTACACACAGTCATCAGACCAGGATTAGAAAATGCCTCTGGTTGGCACATGATCAGTCACAATTCCCACAGCCCCTTGAAAAAAAGCTCATACTCATTTTGAACTGTATCAAATGAGTTTGGCATTGTTCAAAAAATAAGATATAACTTATATGCTGGTAACTTATACATTTGGTTTATTATACATCCCTAGTTTTTAAAAACACATCAACTTAAAGACTGAAATACATGATTCTATATCATCCAAGTTTTACTGCATCTCTTTCTCATTAACTACAGAGTTGGTGGCCCTTGCTGATCTAGAGACATGTGGATGAGTACACTTTCACGTTTCGCCCTGCCTGCCCTGCGGAGGAGCACCTCTGCCGTGGTGGGCCGAGCTCTGAGGGCTTGCCGTAGACCAGGACAGGCTGCAGGTCCACTACCCTCTTCTCTGACATCGGTGCAGCTTCGTGGGCAGCACACGCTGGGGTCAGCTTCCGTCTCTGTGGCTTGCCACTCAGTGAGGCACGTCCGGGCTCTGGATGAGGACCGGCTGATGGAGGTGGAGTGGGAGGATGGAGGACACAGTCTGTACCCGTTCACCTGGCTGAGGGACAACTGCCAGTGTCCACTGTGTACCCTGGAGTCGGCTCAGGCCCGGAAGCTACTGATGTCCGATCTTGATATCCACACAGGAGTCGATGTTGTGGAGGTCACCAATGACAACAAGGTAGACTGCTGCCGTTATCTCATTTGTGGTTTTTAGGGTTCACACAGTGAGTAAGAATGTTATATATATTAAGAGAAAAAAAAATGTTTAAATTATTATCCAAACTGGGTGTAAAAATGTCCAATAAATTTTTACAGAGCCTATATCCTGGTTCAACATTAACTTCCTTTAAGTACAGTAGTTGTGCTTCCACAGTTTTACAACTCCACTGGATGGTAATAATGGACATTTTGGGGTGCATTAAGTTTCTAAAGCTTAATCTTGTAAAAACTAAAACCCGTAAACCTCTAAAACACTGTATCACATTGCTCTATTTCTCTACCTTTCTGATCTTTATTGTTACAAGATGAATATAATACACTTGCACATGCTTTTCTCTCCTAGAATGTTTTGACGATACTCTGCATCACACTCTGTTTTGTTTATCATTGTGTGTCAAAGTTAAACAACATAACTCATACTGTACGGTATCGTGACGCTTTGCTGACTGTTTGAGGGCGATAACCCTGATGATAATCTGTTCTGTTAGGTAAGACAATCTAATTTTGGCAGCACACATTCAGCCTGACCTTTCAGTCCTCCCAAGGGAACTGCCTTTGTGAGCTGTGTCCTTCAGAGGATTCTGCCCCTGGAATGGGACGCAGATATAAACAGGTTGCTTTCATGTGACAGTGCTGCCAAGCTACTGTGTGCTCTTTGGTTTTGTTGACAAAAAGGCACCAAGTTTCCTGTATTGTTTCCTGTTCCAAGATTTACTGAGTAGCCTATTACAGTCAACATGTGTTTGGGATAACACAACAATGGTTTCATGCTTGCCTCTGGCTGTAGGAGCCTGGATGACACATTGGCCAAAAGCCCCCAGAAGTATTAAAAAAGCAGGTGGTAAACATGGGAAACACTCAAGACCAGTTTGTGCTTTTTAAAGCATTTCTCTTTCAGTTTGTTCAAGCAAAAGAGCCAGTCAGTAAAGTCATTTACTGTTTAATTGAAAGACCGACAGTACACTTTCAGTTGATGGATTATCACAAGGAAGAAGAAGAAGTGGAAACATGGAACAATCAGTAAGCTTTTTGTTTCTCCACAGGTGTCCATTGTGTGGCCCGACCAGCACTCCAGTGTGTTTGACGCAGAGTGGCTGAAGAAGCGCTGTTTCTCTCCTGCTGCCAGACAAGCAATGCAAGAAGAGCTTTTCCTCAATGGTGAGTCATCTTTTATAGTTTACTTAAAAATGTTTATAGTGTATGTCTGTACTGTAGAATTTCATGTGATGAATTGGTATAGGGGACCACATTATCTCTGTAGGCACAGCTGCTGTAAGTGCTCTAGAGGAATTTGTCCTCCTATAGAAATATACTTAGCTGTCAGTTTATTAGGTACACCTGTTACTTGATTATTTTGGAGTATGTAGTTTGTGGTAATATTGTATTGTGTCATACTCACAAGTTTAAGGTGTTAGTAGTTATTATTATTATTATTATTAATAAACCTTTTAATGTTATATAATTAAACCTTTAAATATTATCATTAAACAATTTTTATCAATAAGGGTACCTGAAATAACAGAAATACCAGTCCATTTAATGCAGTACAGTTCAACAGCACCAAAAACTACTAAAATGTTAACAAGGATCTGACTTTCACCAAAAAGTTGTAGTACATTGCACTTGTTATAGCTACTGAGTGTATGCTTAATGTGTATCGGGGGCTTTTTATGCATAATTTTCAGTTACATTTGTAAAGCATTTGAAAACTTGAATGTGCTCTTCTCCTCCCAAATGTATTTATTATGTAAAAAACAGGGTTCTCCCTACATACTGCAACTGAATCTGGTGCTTCTCAGTTCGAGGACAGCAAACATGCAGAGAACAAAGGAGTACTGGAGCACACTGATTAATTCATAGCCTTTAATTGTGCAAACAGACTAACGTTTCGACACTACTGTGTCTTCATCAGAGTCAGAATTGACTTTGAAGATGCAGTAGTGTCAAAACATTAGTCTATTTGCACAATTAATGGCTATGAATTAATCAGTGTCCTCCAGTACTCCTTTGTTCTCTGTATTTTTTATGTGTATGCACACATGAAGTCTGTGGTGTAGTACTGAAAGATAAAAAAAAATACACATAATGCATACAAACTACTGTTAAAAAAGGCCTGTACTTTATTGGGCTGCACTGGTCTGAAACTGATGATTACTCTCAAATGGATTACCTTGTGGTTGATGGTAATGGTCAGAGAGATATTTTTAAAGGAGGCAATAAATCAAAACACAGCTGTCTTAGAATTAACAGGATGAACAAAACACTGTCATGAATTATTGCATTTTCAAAGCTCAGTCTGAGAACAGCAATTTGTCCGCTTGCCAAGCAGCAAGCGTTACCTGTTTGTACATCAATAACAAACCAGCAGGCCCATGAAGCTCGTCATGGATGACAATTTCTATACTGTGCGCCATTATGAACCTTAATATTTCACATTTTATACACATCATTAACATTAAAAGTATATCCTCCTCATATCTCATATCCAGTCCAATTTGAATATCAGTGATGGTCAATGTCATCGATTTTGACTTGTTATTAAAAACATCAATACGGTCCCACATTCACTGTAATTTATTGCTAAATGCAAGTGGATCTAATTTTCATATTTTCCTTCCTCTGCAACCACATTGGAAAGTGTGTAATTATGTACTTCCCTGTATTTAAGTCAAAATAAAAATTAATGTGCAAGAGTTTCTGCATTAGCAGTATTACAGAGAAACACAGAATTTTCAGTGTTCAATTACATCACTTTTAAGTTTTCAGACAGCAATTCTTTGCTCTCTAATCCTTATTGCTGGTTAATGAAAGAGTATATCAAGGTTACTCCGAAAGTAGTTTGTGACTTCGTTCTGAAGTTTTTTTGTTTTTTTTCGTGCACTTCAGAGTTTTTTGGAATCATAACTTTTCTTGTTTTATTATATTTAGCTTTAAAAATGTCTGACAACGGTAAGCTTTGCTTATAATGAAGAACATCAAAATTGTCTTAATTAGGTGTGTTCAACAGCTAATATTTAGAATTGATGTTTAATAGGATAGCACTTGGCATGTGGCAACAGTGGGAATTGAGTGGTTGTGAACAATGTTCTTGTTCGCATTATGTATTATCTAATTAAGCAGCAGATCTCTGATGTGTGTATGTGTGTGTTTAGCTGCTATAATTAAAAATGAGTGGACTTTCTCTGCTACCATTTCCTGAGGAAAAAGATACCCCTGATTTAAACTCTTCTTTCCACACTTTTTTTACTCAGTAACATAACAAGGTTGTTAAGGAAGGAGGTTTTTCTAAAGTCTGGAAAGAGAAGTCATTTTACAGTACATTTACAATGGCCCAATACGCTTTACAGTCTGCCAGACAGCAGAGGAGAAAGTTTAGCTGTCTGGAACAAGGTAGCAGCATATCAGTGGAGCGGGGGATGGACTGCAGTCGGTTTGTGTACACACACGTGGTCCTGAAGGACCCACAGGGCTGAGCGGCTCCTGCTCTGTTCCAGACTGATTAAGGTGATGTATGTGTGTGTGTGTGTGTGTGTTGCAGGACTTCATTCATGTTGAAGTGTAAACAGATCCCCCTCATAGCAACTCACAGACAGACAGTTATATTGTAGCATAGGTTCTTTTCAGCCTTTCTCAGTGCAGAGCTCGGAGCACTCCTGGAAGACACTGCTAAGCTCATACACCAAAACACAATACAGGATGACGTGCACACATACACACACTCTGGGTTTAATTATTTCCTCATGAGCGCCAGCCTGAAATTCCTTGCACCGAAAAATACTGGAAGGTCTACAGGCTCAAAAGATGGATGATGAACAGTGTTCACCTCCGAGGATTTTACTTACAATCTCAGTCCTCACTCCTTCATGACGTTAACTCTCTGAAGCGTAGTCCACAGTTTGAATTTCTGTTTCCTTTTTCATGCAGTGCACCTAGATTTTACAGGCCCGAGTATGCCTGTTAAAGTGTTCTCAATAGTGAAAGTTAAGCGCACACAGGACACTGTGAGGTCAATATGAAAATTGGAGCTCTGGGAATATTATTCAGCCTGTACTATACCTCCTGCTTTTATGTCTGAAGTAATGTTTTTGTCTTCTGCTTTTACCGTTTCTATGGAGTCGTGCAACTCAAACCGCAGTATGTAGTTCAGCAGCAGCTATTATTGGAGTAAGACATGGAACTTGTACTACAAGGGCACAACATTATGAAGAAAACTTTTCAATCTGCAGCCACAAATATATGAATCAACAAGAACATGTTCAGATAGATAGAAATGTAGGCATCCAGTAGCTAATACATGGCATCTACAAAAGCAGATAAAGACAGGAGTAGAAGAATAAGAACACACAGCAGTGAAGTGATATGTCAGTTTAATAGAGTATGTACTAATGGAAGTAGTGTAAATCTAAGGTGACTTAAAGTGTTGCTATTGCACATGTAAGGTGATTAAAAAGTGCAAAAATATTTGATTACTATGGGAACTATAAATAAAATGTATAAAATAAAATACAGATTAAAGATAATCATAGCCAAGTAACTGGCAGTCCAGCACATGTACAGTGCACAATTTGTATAGTTTCTGATGGTGCAGGCAAATGTTAAACTTTAGGATTCCGGTTGATTAGTGACCAAATTCCCATTTTACATCATTCTCAGGCAGTAAATTTTGCTTTTAAAGGACCAGTGTGTAGGATCCAGTGAAAAACGCTGTTTTAGAGCCAGTGTTGGCAGTTTAACGTGGCAGACTCAGTAGAATACACAATTTGTCAGGTGATTATACGCTAATGAAAACCTTCCTATGAATATTATATTCAATTTCTGCTAATAGATCTTCATATATGTTACACACTGGACCTTTAAATGACGCTCCATCCATCTTCACTGTTCCGTCAGTTCTTCAGGTAGGCCATTATTTTTTACATGTCTATTGTAGCATATTGGAAGCACATGATTTATCCACATCTCTAGTTTATTGTCAGACCTAGCACATCTACTCCAGGCAAAGCTGAACCGAGCCACAATACGTCTGCATCCGAACCAGCGTAAGGCAGTGGATCTTCTGAAAGGCTGACGTCTGGATAAATGGGAGCCTCGTTCAGACCCCCTACTGCCTCCGCCATATGGAAAACTGATTTAGAGTGAGGGTCAAGAAAAGATCTGCATGTTCTTACCAAACACAAGCTCACTGTTGTCAGTATTTCCTTTCCTGGGAACGAACAAATCCCTGAGCCTGTAGGCATGTGCAACCAGGAATTTAAACTGCCTGGTGTTGTAGACGGAGGAGTTCTTGGAACATTTTCTTACTAAATCTCTAATATTCCAATATAAAGTTGTTACTGTTTGGACGCTGTTTTAGTTTTGGACTGTGTTTCATGGTCGGGTTGTGAATTTTATAACTTTTGTTACACGCTTGTTACCGATTTGGTTTGTATTTCTTTGGACAAACTCCTTTGTGGGCCACTGAGTAGCTGACATTTTTAGTCAAATATATTATATTATACTAGATTTATTTGTTTTTATCAAGCACCTTCATCTGTATAATTGTCAACACAAGTACTACATCTCATTCATAGACCTTTAGGACCTTTGCAATTGACACGTGCCATTTTCTTGCTGGCATGCTGGCTTGCTGGCTTGCTGGCAACCTTTTGCGTCACTCGGAAGAGAGTGATGATGTTAAATTGCTCTTGGGAACACCAAAAGCTTACGTCACTCACAGCCTTATCTGCACTAACTCTTCCTTCCACTGATAAATCTGTCAGTGATTTACTCAAAACGGCTGCCAGATGCTTTTAATATTTGAACCATGTCATCATCTCAGGCCTTCCATTTTGCGCTTGTCATGTTTATTTAGCCGGGGTGGGAATCACGACTAATTTCATGTCACTAGTACTTAAAAGATGGATGTAAAACAGGTTAAATGGATTTTTAGAAATGTAAAAGTATGCCTAAACGCATAGCTTACAGCCTTTTCTTAAATATTTATCCACCAGCTTGCATGGGTAGTTTGTAAAGGAGTCTGTCTTCTTTCAGAGATGCCTTTACAACCATTCTCTAATTCAGCAGACTGTTTGAATTGCTCGCCCTCAACAAGGCAATAATGGAACGTCATTTGCTGCTATCACTCAAAATAAGTGCATCAACTTGTACTAAGAGTTACT